GTTTGTACCACATTTTCCACATGCTGTGGTGTTCAGAAAGGCTTTCCATTTTCCTTTACCCACCACCCAGAATCAGCAAGTGTCATGTCCAATCTGTCTTCCTGTGTTGATCTGCTTGCTGCATGATGACAAGTAGGTTGGGTACTTGGGAGCCTACTGGTGCTCCGCAAAGATGCATTGCGATGCACACTAGACACGGGGGCAGAGGGACAAGAAGATCTGCCTTCCTTGGAGACCCCAAGTCTGCAGCCTTTGAACCCTTTCTGCTGAATGAGAACCCTAACCCAGATACCTCTGTCCCAGCTCAAAAAAAATAATATTAAAAAAAAAAAAAAGAATTAAGCATGGATTTCCTGCTCTCTAACTGCAGGTTTCTGTGTATAACAAACTACTCTTCAAATCCTGATCAGAAGGCAAGGCCTTAGGAAAATGAGTCTTTTTCATGATGAGAAATCTTGCAGCTTCTTCCCCATAACAGCCCGTTGTTACGGCTGGGGACAGCAGGATGGGTTAATCGTGGCCCCATTTCCTGAGGTCTCCTGCGGTCATGATTTGTGAATGCCTGAGAATACCCCTGCTGAATTCTAATTGTTTGTGGCAGTCGGCACATGATTTCAAGTGTTTGGTCACAGCAGTGTTCGTTTTCTGCTCTTTTAATCTTTGATGGATGTTGCGCCTGGCTTCACTGATGTGGTTCACAACACAGTAGGCAGTGATTTCCTATAAGATGTTTTGTCTCGACTACAGGGGTGTGGAGTCCTTCTACGATGACCAATATTTATTAATGACATCTCAAGGCTTCTAAAGAGAAAGCTCTGCCATAGACCATTAGAACCTAATCTATTCCAAAATGTCAGATGCAGTTAAGCAAGAGTTATCTAGATTGCGCTGAGACTTTCCTCATTAGTTCAGACTCCGATTAGAAGACTGATTAAAGGCTTTCTTTCTGTAGAGGTTCACTCTTTATCTCTGCAGATATCGTTACTATGCAAGATGTGATAGAGCTAGCTTAAGGCTCATGCAAATACTAAAACTCAAAAGTATTTGTGTGTACATATCTGCACAGTCATTCAAGTCCATACAGTGCACATGCATGTTTTTTGAAATGCCTTTGATCAGTAACATGAAAAATGTTCATTTCTGAGAATGAATAGGATTGTATTTTATTACACCTTTCAAACTGTTCAGCTGGTGTTAATAGTATGCACTTGTATAAAAGGTCAAATTTTCGTATCATATGTAAAGCTGTAGGATTAAGATTTTAACAGTAATTTGGGGGGTTGCTGGGATACAAAGTATTTTGTACAGAATACTTGGTATCTGAGATCATTAAGACTAGCCAAATTGCTTCCTGTGATTAAAGGTTGCTCTTGCTGTTCACTCTAAGCTACGTGATTGTGACAGTGCTGAAATATTTAAGGCTCCTCCTGATGTTTTACCTACAAATAGCATTAAGCTTTAGCATATGCCTTAATTTTCTTATGATATCACTGAATATGATGATTTTATATACAAGCTCTTAGAAGAAAGGATTGTTGATCCGTTCCGTGTTTGTATAGTGTTTAGCACAATAGGGATGAAGTCTCTTGATACTTCTGGAGCCAAGGTAATAAACTAGCATTATCAAGAAATAAAAGCATTAATGAGGCAACTGCCAAAGCTTCCAAATGATTTTGCAAGATAGAGTTTGTAAAGAATTGGAGCTTTCAACTTTTATTCTTGTGTATTTTATAATTAACTGTCTTGTGCATGAATGGTTTTACAAACATCTTGTAGGGTAATGATAGATAAATGAGAAAGTACAGACAGCTTTAAGAAATTGTGTGTAAGTCAGTGTTCTTATAAGAGGATTTGATTGTTGTTTTCAGTCTGGTCAGTATAACAACTAAACATTGGTGCCATTTGATAGCTTGGCTGTGCATATTTTCACGTGAAGGGGAGAACATAGTATTAAGTAGGGGTATTGGTCCAGTTACTGCAGAACAGATAATTTGTTAATTATTGACAAACTAGCAGGGAGACCACTCTCTGGTTGCCAGTAAGCATTACCTCACTTCTGTGAGGTTAACTTGTAGACCTTGAAAGGGATAGGAGGGGATGGGAGATGGACACGTACCCATTTATGTGTCAAAGTCAATTTCGCTAACTTTGTTCTATGACTAAAAAAAACTAAAATAGTTTAGCAGTTTAATTGTACATAAAAACCTTGTATTATAGCTGACAGGCAAGAGATCTTGTTTTTATGTTTTCATGAGTGTCCCTTATGTAAGTGACTGAAGGTCACCCTTTGTACTCATGGATTTTTGGGGTGATCGTTTTTGGGATAGGGTTGCCAGGGCTGCCAAAGATGGTAGCAGGGCTTCTGTGAGCTTCTACAGAGCTGTGAAGGTAACAACTAGTCATAGGATTAAAACAAATCTTTCAGCTGCAGGCCTGTCTGCTGAATAACTTCTAATTAGCTTTGCCAGTTTTATTACAGACTTGCTGTTTGCCCTCAGCGTCCTGTACTAGTGATGCAGTTGTTTGTCAGAGGTGTCTGATTTCTTTATATTTTAATGGTGGTAACCCCTTTTAGTTAAACTCGGGTCTTCTGAATCCCAGGCTGGTGTTCTTATCCCCTGCTATTTGTGACTTTCAACAAATTAATTTGAGCTAACACATAGAGAGGAAGAAAAATTCTCAGTTCTCCAACTGGTACAGTCCTAAACGCATACACATGCAGACACACATTTTGTAAATACTATGTACTGTTTTCTTTTTCCAATCTTGAGACTGTTTACTCTTCCTGAATGAAACTAATAGTGTGGATAGACAGCTGACCAAAGAAAGGGAAGCCTTAAGGGCTGTGACCACAGATTATTTAGATGTGCCACAGACTTGAGGGGAAATAGTTTTGTTGTAATTTATTTCCCAATCAGAGGTTGAATTCCGCCTTTCAATGCTGTTTTTCAGGAAACATCTACTCTGTGCAGCCAGAGGTTTTTTTTTTTGAGAACACCTGCAGCTGTTGATGGCTTTAGCTGGGCTTGAGAGTGTTTCTGAACATCAGGTCTGGCAGTCTCAGTCTCCTGGTAGGTGTGTGGGCTGGATCCTGCAGAACGTGTGCTAGTGACACTATGCGAGGCAGTATCTCTGCTTCTTGCTCCATGCCCTCCCAGACCCTGAGGGTATGCTTCCAAAATATATTTGGCAAGCTTCAACCCATGCCTCATCTAAATGCTAAGATCAACCTACTGCAATATTATCTCCAGAAAATGAGCGCAGAGGCACTCTAACAAGGAAATGTTGACTGTATCATATCACTGTGAGGCAAATCCTTGGCTCCACTCTACTGTTTTTACAGTTATTGCAGGAATAAAAAATTGCACATCTAGATAAATCAGTCACTTCTTTAACTGGTGTCTAAAGTTGTTTGATTCCTAAGGTGAACCTTCAGTGTTGGGAAATCCCTGAGTGGAGTATTAGAAAACCAAGATAGGGGCTTCCTATTCTCCTTCCCAAAGAATAAGGGATTTAGTTAGAGATGTGAAGATGTTGCCAAAATCCTCAGCTGCCTTAATTCTGTTGAGGTTGTTGGATAGTAGTGAAGTAGCTAATGCTTAAGCCACAGAATTCCAGGATCAGGGAACTACAAAGGGTGGTTTCCAGTCATACTTGTGCACAACGCTTTTTGTCACCTAGCTAGCTAGCTGTGCCCAAGCAGTTGCTCATCAGGGCTGCTATAGTACTGACAAGCAATATAATTTCCATCAACCCACATCAGAGTGCCATCACTGTACCTACACCCTGAAGTAGAGGGCAGATCATAGAATTATGATTTAGATTCCAAGTTGGAGTCCAACTCCTACGATGATCAGGAGAAAAGACTTTCTTTTCCATCTTCTTTGGACAGTTTTGGAACAACAGCCTGGTCTCTGACATTTAGTTTGGAGACAGACTTGCAGGAAAACAAAATGAACAACCACTAGGAAGTGGCTGGAAGAAAAAAACAGCCTATGTTTGTTTTGTAAATTGTTTGGTCAACTCTGACTTGTCTTCCAGTGTAAAAGCAAGCAATATTTAAGTATTTGTCAAAAAATATATCATACTGGATGAGGATTCTTGCTACCTGATGCTCATCTTAAGTTACTAATATCCTAGGTTATCAGAAAAATGGCACAGCTTAGTCTTGCTTAGTTTGAGAATTTACTGTCATAGACATCTGTGAACCTATAACTGGGTGTATATATAGAACAGATCAAGATGTAGGATGTTGTTAAAAATGAATAAATAAATTCTTGCCACAAGTTTGGGATGAACTTATTACATCACTGATGGTGGAGCCAAGAACGATTTAAGCCAAGTCTTCACAGACAAATCTGGTAGCAGCTCTACAGTATCTCACACCATCAGTGATTGCTGAATAAGTCTTGTCCTCTTACAAAGCCTTAGTGTGCTTTCTACCTCTTTTAAGGTAGAGCTGCTGCACTGCAGAAAAAAAATCATGTCATTGGCATGGGTGTAGCTTATTCGTTTTAATAGCAATGAGTTATGCAGAATACAAAATACTATTATGTAATTGCTCTGAATATTATACTAGGACTTGAGAAATATGGGAGCCAGAGTGATGAGTATCATGTGGGATGGCTGACACTTCCCTTTCTAATCCAAGGAAGAAAAAAACCTCAGCTAGTTAGCATGAAAACTTTTTTCCAGTTGAATAGAAGTTGAGAAGGTTTGTTGCTTGTCAGGGTTCATAGACACGAAATCCACACATGAACTGGCTCCGTTGATGCTGATGGCAAAATTCCAGCAGACTTTATGAGAGCCAAAATCCGGCTCCATGTGGGCTTCAAAGGAAGCAGCTCTCCATACAGCAATGTGTTTGAGAAATAATTCACCCTATGTAGAGACACATTTAAAACCTTAGAACAGGTACAAATTTAATCATGATAAATGAACTATAGCTGATAACTTTCAAAGAAATGAGGGGAAGATTATAGGGAAGATGATGCTAAGAATATGTTTCAGTATTGGGTTAATTTTATTAGCAGCTTATTAACATCAGCAAACAGCAGTAGTCTTTTTGAGGTTTCATGGAGTGGTTGTGTAATTTAACATCTAGAGGAACAGAGCCAGGGGCCTCATGTAAGTTGTTGGTTCTTACCTACTTTCCTCCATATGCCATGATGGCTTTATGCAAGTCTTGGAGGGTATGCAACTTCATCTGTAGTTTTCTTCCATATCTGTGGCCACACAGATGCATTCTGCTACTGCCCATTTTCTATGAAGGCTCAGCCAGTTTCTCAGAATACAAAACCAGTGCACCCACCCTCGTACTGTAGGTTTTTGGAAGACACAGACCCAAGCAGTCCTTCATAATGTGCTTTGCATTTGAAGTCTTGCTAACATGGGAGTGACTGTCATGAGGCTTCCATTTCAAATAATCCTGAAACAGAAGGGGAAAAAAAGGGAGAAGGGGTAAAAGCAAAAGAAAATCTTTTATCAGTTTGGAGTTGGGCTGTTTGTGGCTTACTTACTACACAGGAAATTATTATTTCCTTACGTGCTTTCACCATTGTGGCTTTATCTGCTGCCATCAGCAAGCTCTGTTGTCTGCACCTAAGAATCACTGTACAGCACGGCTAGGACCTGAGCTATGCCCATTTAGAAACATTTTGGGGATACTTCATTTTTTTATGTTGAGACCAGAGTGTCTGATGGGCTATGGAATACAAGAAATGAAGTAAAAGTGCTGTTAGGATACTTCTGAGTGAATCTGAGAAGTGCTCTAAGTATGGGAAGCACTTCAGGGGCAGTACTGAAGACATGAAACACTTCCCTGAGAATTTCTACATACTAGCTGTGTCATGCATAGTATATAGCTGTACTGAGAAAGTAGTACAGATGTCTGTTGATAAGCCTGACTGCTAAAGCCATATTCCTGTCAGTACTCAATATGGTTTGTATCACACCAGTTCTTCAAGACTGGGGGGTCACAGACTACAGCAGTCATGTTGGTTTGCTTCATTTCATCCATGACTACTATTATCGTGAAATGCTTTTTTTAAAAAAATGCAAATTAATGGATTTGAAATGTAAAAGTAGAGGGATCAAATGTGTTATCAATAAAGCAATTGTAGCTCACTTTTTGATTCAGCTTAAATGTTATCTTTGGCTTTTCTCCTTGTTTAACTGATCTCTTTAGAAAGGGGGGTACCAGCTTCAGAAGCGTGGCCCTGGCCTCAGGTGGGGCAGGCAATTGTTATGTTATAGAGATAATAATTATTTCTGTAGCATTCAAATCAGGCCATGGCTTTTTTATGCTGGATCCTCTGTGAATAGATAAGTCTGGCCCCTGCTAGCTTGAGAAATTTCTCTTCACACAAGCCCTTACATAAGTCATCAGCAGCAAAGAGGAAGTTAAATGTGCAAGAGAGAGGAGGTTAATGTAAAAAGACCTTAATATGGGGTCTGCTTCAAAAACTGAGGCTTCCCTCACAAACTTCAGCATGTTTGGGAAGGCAGCAACAGCCATGCATCTCAAATAGATTATCCTATCTTGACTGGGGGAGTCCATCTTGGTCTGAAATATCTCCCTGTGCACTCAGAGGTTAGAGGAATGGCTGCCCTATAAAGGCCGCAGATAAGATAGATGCTTTGCATCTGTTCTCCATTGGTGTGCCTTGAACGAGGTGTGTGAGAAGGGCTCTGATAAATCAGCTATCATGGATCATTGAGAGAAAAAAGTAATACTTGTATACAACAGTTTCTCTCAGGAGACTCTCTGGTATCTTGAATGCAATTAATAAAGTAGAGGTTTCCAAATTATTCTCATTATTGGGGTGTTCACATACTTTCTTTGAGGTAAAGTTAGTGTCACATTCTGGTTCCCACTGACCGAAAATTATATCTTAGGTGAATTTTTCTGATAGTAATGCTTAACAGAGGAAATGGTCACGGTTCTTCTGGGCTGTACAGCAGAGATTCAAAATTGACCTCAAAGTAGTGTCAGCAATTCACAAAGTTGATGCTTCCTTCCAGCCCTGACTCTGGTAATGCTGCTGTGATACAGCTGGGAGGAAAGTCTGAGGTAAATTCTTATCTGTATCCTGCACACTTTAGTATTTTGTTTCTTCTGCATAAGTAGGTTCAGAATGTGCTCCTTTCAGGAATAATTCTGACTGCTATTGAGTCAGGATTAGTGTTGTTGGTATGAACTCACAGGAAAAAGCTGCCTTTGGCTGTGGCTCTGATGTATTCACTTTTCATCGCAACACTGCAGAGCATCATATAAATGAATCTGTTCTTTTAGCTCATGTGAAACTCCCGTGATGGTATGTACTATTCAAACAAAATATTTCAAATCAGTATAACAGATGTAGGCTCAAAAAACCCACAACCCTGCATACAAATCCAGAAACTAGCAGGTTTACATATTGATCTGGCATTTAATAACACAAGAAGGTTTTTTTTTTTTGTATAGAAGTATATATTTTTTTTGTGTCGTGACCTTCAAAACAATAATTTTAAGATTCTTCGGTTTTAGCTACAACAGACACATGTATCTTGTATTATATTGTCCCGTTGGTTATTATGGCATTCTTAATTTTCATTGCAAATAAATGTTGTAAAATAATTTGGCATTAAAATGATTATTTCACTGTAAGTTAACATTCCAAAATGGAAGAGCTTCAATCCCCGAGAGCTGTGGTGGTGAATTTTCTTACAGCTACTCACCTCGAGTTCATAAAGTGCTCCTAGTTTCTCCTGGTCTTTTTTCATCACCTCCTACTGCCGCACCTTAGCAGGGAGAGATTAGGCATTTTTCCCTGACTCCAGGATGGTCAGCAAGTTCTCAAAGATTACAGTTTGCCGCTGGAACTGCAAATTTACTATCAGAGCACTCAGCCAGATTCTTCGTTCAGAAATGCACTAGTTCATAAATGCTGTGCCTTGTCAATGTGCTACTCCAAAGAGCAGAAAAGCCAGACTTCCATCCTGTGTTTTTGAAAAGCATGAGGGTGGTCCAGAGCAGTTGGTCACTTTTTTCTCATCTATGTCCCATACACTTGTTCTCTCTACTCTGTTTGCTTTGCAACATCTCAGGATCTGTGAACCACTGCCACCATCCTCCTTATTGTGCTCAGAGGTTGTTTCTCTGTTGCTATGGTGGCAAACCGAAATTAAGTTCCTTACATCAGCCAGGGAGAGAGTGAGGGAGAACACAAGCAAGCACAGAAATACTACAAGGGGCAGGTTCAGATGTAAAGAATGTGCTGTCCTGCAGTAAATACCTGTAGCTGATAGAATGACATTATTTTTCCCAACCTGCTTTATTGTGACCTTTTTTTTATTTTATTTTCCTTTATGGAAGTCCTCCAGATTCCATTATTTGTTAGCTGAGAATGGAGAAAAACAGTATTACTGGAGTTGGAAGAGACCAGTTCTGGGGATTGTTTTGTAGAATGCTCATCCCCTGTGTATTTGTGTAGGTCTTTATGTAACTTGAATGACTTTGTCACTGGTTCTTCAACTCTATTTATGCAGAAACTTTCTGTAAGAACTTTTCACCTTTCTTAGGTAACTGAAGAGGAAGATAAGAGTCTCAGCCTCTCAGTTGTGTTCCTGACTCCTGCCATAGGGATCCTGTTCTTTGGGCCCCACGGTAGTACGGGTAGCCAGGACTTATTCACGTATTTGCTTCCTTCTGTGCTCAGATGTGCAATTCTTTACTCTCTTTATGCTTCATTTAAAGGTACAAGTTTCTTTCTCTTTAATTTCTCGCTAAGCTACTCAACTGCTGTGAGGATTTTTAGTGGGAACAAGACGGGTGGGGAGCCATCGCTGAGTACAGGCTTGCTCTGCTTTCAGAAGTGAGATGTGAACACAGTGTGTGCTTTTGCCTGGCCTTGAAACCAGGGTGGTCTGTCAACTGCACTTCAGCATCATCTTGTGGAAGTGCCCCCTGCTGCCATGTACAAAGACTTACAGCACACTACAACACTGCAACTTTTAACTTTATTTTATACGGTGTCTTTCACTCTCCATGTGCTCAAAGTGCTTTACAATATACAAACAGCAATAGAAATTGTACAAAAAAAAGTATGTCTTCAAACAGAGGAGCTACTTTCTTCAGTTGGCAAAAACAACACTTCCTGTAACAGAACAGCAATAGAAATGAGCCTGTGCTGGCAAGGCAATCCTAAGTTCTCTCCCCAGCTTAGGATAATTTTCTTCCAAGATGTACAAATGATTGTACCTCATGACTATAATGAGTTGAACCAAAAGTAAATTAAGTTAAGAAAATAGAGATTTAGGTGAGAATATCAATCTAAATTCACTACAAAGCCTGTGATTGATTCTCTGCTTTGCATTTCTGTAGCAACTCTTCTGCAAGGCTGTGCCACATAGTTTCTAAGCAGTGCTTAATTACATTTCATTAATGTTGTGGGAAGGGGATGTGGCAACTGCCATTTGTCCACTGCTTTTTACGATTGTCAGTTTTATTGGCGAGTCTGCCTTAGTTTATATCTAAGAAGGATATATATTTTACAAATAAAAATCCATCTCTGAGTGCTGCATCAGGTCTGTTTTAAATGCCATTAAAATTAAGTTGTGAAAATTCATAACAACATATCATTGAATTAGGCTGTCCAAATCTGTAGGTATGGAACAGCTATGGAAAACATGTATTGTCATTGAGTATCAGAGGGTGTCTTACTGAGACAGTGATTGCAGTGAGGAGTTTGCTTGGGAAAAATGAGTAAACTCAAAGTAGGACCAGATGCTGGTCCGAATGTAGGTGGGCTTGAGAGCAAAGGAGGAAACAATTTGAGCAAGGAAAACAGAAGCAGGACCTGAGGAAGGAAATGGAAAATAATTGGCAGCGCTAAGAAGCGGAAGGGGACATGCGGTGCTGGGAGCAGAGAGGGAAAAAGAAAGGACTGAGGCATGAGTGGGGATGAAACTGAAGGGGATGTGGGCTGCAGTGGTGGTTGGGGATGGGTTTGTTGCAGAGGTCTGTCAGAGAGCTGGACATGATAATCTGGGCTGGGTATGGAGCCAGAGGAAAGAGCACAGGGAAAGTGCTTTGTCTAGTGCAGCATTTAGCTCCCTCAGTGCAGGAGAGTTTCCTTTTTTTTGCACACTGTCTTCTGCCTCATCAGATGTGCATCTTCCACTTGGCTGCAACCAAGGATATGATGTATCAGAGTCCTACAGGCAGCTGTCATTTTTGCCTCAGAGCAGGTGTAATCCTTGTACTGCCGCTTGGATCCAGAGTATGTGTACGGGTCAGGGGGGACACAACACATGCAATTAGTCAACTGGGACGTGGATCTTCTGTGTGTGGGAAAGAGGGAAATACATTTTGGAAATGCACCAGTACTTCTTGCACTTTGTGTTTCTTGAAGGCTTCAGCTTACAAATTTAATGAAATCCCTCTTACCATAGCAGCACAAATGCCTGTGTGAACATAAATGTAAAGATTGTGTATGTTTGGGGATGATTATCTTTGGTGAGGAGCTAAGCAACACATAGCAGGAGTTGGAAAGCAATAGCCAGTGTTAAATGTCACTCGCCAGCACGATAACTTCAGCACGTCCGCGCCTCTTTGTAGCGCAGAGGCTGGCTTATTAGCCTCTGTAACAATACCATCTTGCACTGCAGTTCTGTTTGCTCTTGCAAACTGAGCAGGATCACATCTGCCCAGGATCTTAGATGGAGCTCTGCAGAGGTCACTGACATGCCATGGAAGCATGTTTGTTCAGTAAGTGACACTTTCATCCCGATGTCCCACTAAGCCAGCGCACCAGAATGGCTTCCTTTGCCACTGTGCAGTATCTAGCTGGGTGTATGCATGTTTTAGACTCAAAATACAAAGTGCAGACACTCACTGTTTTTGATCATTGGAGATTTTGTATGGAACTGGTTATAAAACTGGGCTGTTAGCCCTTGTACGTTGCCAAAGTTGTGTTTAGATAACTGCTCTCTGCCTGTAGATATTTCTTCCAGTTCTTCCACTTACCCAGGGCTAACCTAAGCTGAGTTGCAGTGTTGTTTTTCCCTATTTTATGAGGGTTACGCAAGAACTTCTGTAAAAAGTCTGTGGTGCCCTGCCTGAGAGGGGGTTCTGCAGTGGGAACAACTGCAGTAAGCCTGGCATTCCTATCTGCAGATTAAATCCAGAAGTTATATCAGCAGCAGGCAGGCAGCCCCTGATCATGGCAATGTAGTAACTGATCAGAGTTCTCAGGGCCACAGCAGGCCCAGGGACCCTCAAGTAAATCCATTCAGTGTCTGGTGAGACAGGAGCTCTCTGTGGAGGCACATGGTACATTTGTCTGCGCTACAGTTTGCCATATTCACTTGTGTTCTCCCACTTCTCAGCTGTGCAGCGCAGCCACAGAATAACTGTTGGCTGGAACTCCGAGGGGCTCTGGGAGACAAACTGTAAGTGTCACCTTGACAACAAGCAGCTGTGGACAACCAGGAGTCCAATTCTCCATCATCACCAACCTGAGCAGGAGGATTTTAAATTGGCTTTGCACTATCCGCTCTTGCCAATCTACTAGCATAAATTTGAGGGGCCCAAAGTTTATTGTACCTGTGTACAATATGTGCAGATGGTTAGGACTCACAGTGGGACTTTATGGCCACTTAGGCATTGTGATGGTATTGCTATCTCCTTTCCCCCAGGTCTTCTACGCTGTGGGAGAGGAATAAAAAGGCAATAGTGCACTGGACCCCAACTCAGGGCTTGCTAGACAGCCGGCATTACCACAGGGTATAAAAAGGCTGAAATGGAGACTGGCAGGGGGAGTCCTCTTTAATACGCCAGCAACATCTTACTTGTTCAACGCAGCTAACAACCCTGGGGGATCAAAGCAGTTGCACGCAGCTAACGTTGGCTACTCAGGAAGGAAGGGGCTTTCAGTTGGGAATGGTTTTTAGTAGTTAGGAACCTGTGCTAGGTTCAAACTGGAAGCCCAAAGATGAGAATGTCTGGGACAAGTCATTGTCCTGCAAGAACTGCTTCCAAACATTACTGCTCGAAAATGGAGCGGGCAGGCTACTGTGTTCAAAAAAAGTTTTGGTTACAGCCCCTTGTTAGTTTAATTTTAGTTCTTATGAATTGACATATGGCAGGCATGATTTTTAATTAGAGCTTTAGCTGTGTTTTACTGGTAGGACTGCAGAGCATTGTGGAATTTACATTAAGAAAAAAAATGCTCTGTCGGTGGAGTACAAGGCTGTTTAGTAATCAGAGTGGAAAGTTAACTTTGAAACAAATTGGCAACTGATCAGATAAAATTCAAATCGGTAACATTTGTGTTGGAAACCAGCTCAGATCTGGGAAAAGTGGAATCTAAGCTATTCTGCTCCTCTTGCAGAGGAACTGACTGGTGAATGCACTGTGCACATCAAAATTCATATGTAACACCCCCTACAAAAACAAAATTAATACTTTTGCAGGGTTGTCTGAGCACTTATCTGATTCCTTTTCACGTTAGTGTAAAAGTGTTACTTTGAAGAAAGTTTCCTCGCATACTTTCAAAAAACAAACAAACAAACCTGCTTTGCCAGTCAAAAACTAAAGGTCAAAAGTTTCCCCCCTCTGATTTTCTTCTGGGTATAATAGAGAGGTATCAGGAGATATTTTGCTCCTCCGGGCTTGTAACAGATTCCCATCTTCCCCGTTCATTGTGTGAGCTCTGTTGGGTACTGAAAGGGTTAATGGTGTGTTCAGGCCTCAACCAGCAAATGCATTTAAAGCTCAGTCCAGCGCTCACATGGTTTGTATTCTTGCACTGCTGGAGTGGTGTGTTCATGGCATCTGGTTCCCTGGCAACAGCTTTCATTGGCTCAATCAAAGCCTTTTCTTCTTAAGAAAGCTCCCACTGTGACACCCTACCACCACCACTAATCACCATCTTAACCGAGTGTTTAAGATGCAGCTGGTATGAAAAATAGTGCTTGTGCATGTGAGAAGATTAAGAGGCTACCTTGCGTAGTACACCTGCCCTGAAGAGTGCCCTCACTGGTTTGTGCTGGGCAGACTGGAGGCTGTCTGCTTTCCTGCTGG